TTGCCGCATTTTCCGTGCCAAAACTTGAGCAGTGTTTGGCTTTGGGTGGTTTTTTGACTATGCATCTGGGTTGGCAGTACTAGTATAGTTGACTCAAGAGAAATGTTATTTAATCACCACAACAAAACGAAGCTTGACTTTTTTCCAGTTCCGAACTTGAAAACGCGAAGGGCCCTGAAATCTTTCACAATACTTTCGAGCGTTGTGCCTTCTGTGACCGGTGCAAATTTCTCTTGTAATGTCTTTCTGGAACTGGTTTTTCTACAGTTTAACTGATACTGTTTTAAAGCTGAAGGGAAATTATAACCGGTCTACAATGTATATTGCATTGTTTTTATGGACGCCTTTTTAAGGTCGACGTATAGATCGTTTTTGCCTATATTCGGCTGCATTCAGTTGGATACTACATTCTAGGCAAAATTAATATCCCAAACTTCTTAAGATGTCCAGTAATTTTCATTTTTTTAAATTAAAAATAAATCTCCACGGTTTTGAATGAATAAAAAACAGTGCGCACGTAAATTGTTAGTGATGATCTTGAAGCTGTTTGTTTGTTTTCCTGTTATGTGCGCCTCTAAGGCTAATAGTTACGTTTGCTTTGTCATGAGCCATGAATAGCCGGTTTGCATGCGAAGATACAGATGTTTTATCCATATTCTTCTTTTTGAACAAATCCAAGTAACCCCCTCCCCATATAGAATTCTCGCACTTGAAATTTTTAATTTTCTTATCAGTTCAAAACAGATTGAAGGAAAATCATTCTCCTCAGCTAATCTACGCCATTCTATGTCGGCGAAGCACCGATTCCAGCAAGGAAGCTTTGATACATTATTGGAAGATCTCCAAATTCTCTCAGATGCGTCTTTTATATCGGATGAAGGTACTTCTGACGTTTTACACATCCGATATCCATCTTTTCAGGCGAGAAACGAACCCCTTCGCCACCTGCCAAAAACACCTTAGGAAAACAGGTGCGTTTTTCCAATTTATTTTAATTTTCATAGGTGCGCTTTAACTCTGCGATAGCAATTGCTTCTGCCCGATTTGGTGTTTCCAGTCCCGAGCAGCAGGAATCGTCCATCAACACTGTTCCAGTTGCCGACAACCGGCAAGTCACTAGTTGTCCTCTACAACCCTCAGTCAGCGGTTATTCATCCGGAACGAGAAGTAACCAATCGTCGCCTTCCTTTAAAACCGCTGACATGACCAGTGTTCCAAGCGCTCTTGCGGATCACCTTCCTAGAAAACTGGCACCGAAAGCTCATCCTCCGCCTGACCAAGCCCC